TCACAAAGTCTTGTTCTAATCATGGATTTATAGAGTTGGGGAGGACTTTGGAGACCATCCAGTCCAAACCCTTCTTCACAGCTAATTTAATTTGGTTATGTAACAATCTCACAAAGCCTATTCAGAGTGAGGGTAATGCTACCTGAATGGACAATCTTCATTAATTTAAAGCTTTTTATGCTGTCCTATCACAAAAGTCTCAGGATGGGAAATCTTCCTGCAATACAGTCAGTTGGATATACTGTAGAGTGCACATGGTCTTTCCCACCCTCACTCTGAATAGCCTATCACTGTACTGGCTACTTGACATGACAAAGCCAGTCCGGGGAGAGGGCAGAGAGGCAAACTCTCACAATTGTTTGTGTCCATCCATAGAAAAATTGTTGCAAGGGGGTCACTTTATACAAGGAGAAAAGTATTCCTGAAATGTATCCCCACCCAAAACCCATTCCTTGTCTTATGAATAGGCTTTCTTTTGAAGTCTGGGTATATATTTCAAAGTCGAAGGCCTGGATTATTCGCTTCCTCTTTATATTGCTCTCTCAGTGAAATGGAGCCTGCTAACATCTCATTTCCATTTTGATGGGGGTTTGGGCTAAACTGAGAACAGAGTAAATCTGATTAATGATAATCCCACCAGAGATTAGGGAAAGTGTTTCAGGCCATTTTCTCTAAGCTCATTCCATAACACTTAGCTCCTTTCTGACCATACCAGTGTGGCACAGCAGTGAGAGAGTTGGACTGGGAGTCTATAGAGCTGGGTTCAAGTCCTTGCTCCCTGGGTGACTTTGGGCCTGTCACTCATGCTCAGCCTGACCTGCCTCACAGGGTTTTTGTTGCGAGGAGAAAATGGAGTACAGGGGACCTATGTAAGCTGCCTCGGGCTCATCGAAAGACAAAAAAAAGTCAGGATATAAATTCCGTGCAACAACAGCATGAAAACAAGGCTCATTGCGTTTGGCTAGGATTCAAAACAGCCAAAAACAAAACCTTATGAGGTCTGTGGACTCCAGGATTGCTAACGCTTCAAATCAAAATTGTGGTATGTGGATGGGGCCTGATGGGGCCCTCCAGGTCAAAGGGAGAGAGGTCAGACAGATTCCAGGGATGTGGGGTTTGGGGTGTCTGCGGTGAGGCTGGGCAGAGACGTAATCTAAGCCCTTGAAGCGGGTGCCGTCTCCAAAGCAGTCCTGGAAAAAGCAAGACCATGCAGAGTGCCAGCGAGAAGGAAAGGCAGCTGGTTTAAACAGTTCCAGCAAAGCTCAGTGCCTGCCGAGCCAAAACCCAGTTTTCAGCGTGCTAAATACAATGCGGGAGGGAGAAAACTTGGCTTCTCTTGGGGAGGCATTTCCTCATTTGGGGTGTAAGAGGCGAGAAGTACCTGTGTGTGGCATTCCCTGGTGGTGCCAGGGGACCTGGAACAAAATACCCCATAATGCTATAAGAGCGGCAGCATGGGCATGGGAGTTTCTTCGGCCGCCACAGGGCAGCTGTTGCTTTTCTCAAGATCACTGCAAAATGCAACATCCTTTGAAGGGGTCACTCTTTTCCAAGGCCACATAGCCCTGTTCTGAACAGCCACAATGCTGCCTAAAGAGGGAAAATTGCTGATTCTGAGGGAGGGAGGGAGACCCCCACCCTCCTCCTATATAAGACCATCTCCCCAAGCTTCTTAGAATTTGCTCATCCCACATGAATTGCTGGGCAATATTCAGATCAGGCTCCATGAAAGCAGATGCTCCACCAGTCAAAATTGCCTTCGCTCTTGATGGGCATGGGGAACTTTCTTTATGAACTCCTAATGCTCCTAGAGGGATTCTTGTATACCGTAAACTGCCCAGAGTCTACCCAGGAACTATCTCAGATGGGCAAGCATTCCCTGAAGCCACAATTTATTTGATTAGTAGAAATATTTATAGGTCACTCCTTGGCAAATGCTCTGAAAGAACCTTAAAATATAATAAGGAAAAGGCAGTGAAAAGGCGGAACAAGACATTACAAGCATCACAATAAAACAGAGCACAAAGGAATAAAATTGAATGGGCTGCCAGCACGAAGGAAGGTACAAATCTTAAAGGTTTCACCCGGCACCAAAGGCGTAATGAAGATGTGTCATGCGAATGATAAGAGAGAGGCATGTACAGCCCAGGGGTGCAGTGTTCACCTAGCCCTTCTTACCAGCCTGGTGCAGAAAATGATAAAACCATTTCAGAAGGTTGCATGTCCCTAACTGAGTCTTCAAATTGCAGGAAGTCTGTAGACAGGAAACCTGGTCCAAGTTAAAACCAATGTTCGAATCTTTGCATTGCATCGTCTTTTGCAAAGGACACCCCACCCAGCAAGGAGGGCATCCTTCCTCTGATGGACCCTTCGCTTGAGATTTTTCCTAGTTCAAAGCCGAAGAAACACAAAAATTGCCCCCCGAGCAGTGGACACTGGAAGAGCAGAATGTGTGAGACCTCAAATCTGCTGGTCACTTCGTTCCATACGATCGCAAAAGGTACTTTATTTCTGTGAGATTATAATAGCGATTTCTAAATTTGCATCCATGCCTATGAATTGAGATACGTGCAGTTTTGGTAAATCGCTCTCCTCTTTTTCAGAGTGAGGCGATTCAGGGTTGCAAGGACCTGGACCTGCTTCCACCAGTTTGGCCTGACCTTTAATTTAAACCCCAAAGCAAGACCAAACTCAGGCCAAGTTTCCGATGAGCTCAGAGGGCTTAGGAAATCACCCACAGGAAGCCCTCTGGACTCATCAGAAAGTTTTTCTGAACTTGCAAGTGTCTCCGTTCTGCCTAGTGGAGAAGTTATTTTGGGGCATTTGCAAAAAAGAGAGGGGTTTGCAATGCGGGTGATTGTGTAATCCTGGTGTTCCTCTGCCCCCCCCCCACCTTCCTTTTAATCCTCTGGTTGGAAATTGCATTCCCACTGTATTATCTCTCAGCCCTTAATCTCCCCCAAAGCCCCGAGGCCGACATGCCTGGACCGAAGGATTGGGTTCCGGCGATGATTTTCATTTGTTCCTCCAAAGGATAAAACATTGAGATTCAGGTCACTGCAACTGGAATCACATGACCCCCAGCTTTGTTCCTCTTTCGCGGTGGCGCAAGCTGGAGCGAGCTCGGAAAGGGCCGGACGGGGGAAGGCGGTGCATCCTCCCATGAGCAGAGCCGGCAGAAGGGTTGCGTCAGGGTCTGTAGGCCCTGGCAGGCAGCCAGTCTCTCTAACTGGTGTCCTAAAATTGTAAAGGGGGAGCCAGTGTGGTGTGGTGGGTAGAAACCTGGCCTGGGACTTGGAAGATCTGGGTTCTAGTCCCCACTCAGTCATGATTCTTCCTGGGTGACTTCGGGCCGGTCAGATTCTCAGCCCAGCCTAGCTCACAGGGATGTTGTGGTGGGGAGAGGATTGCGAGGGAGAGAATCGAGGTCCTTGGAAGGAATCAAAAATCAGTGCATAAGTCAAACGAATAAATAAAACCTGTGTTCCTGCCTCCAGGGGCTTCACAAGAAAGATCCAGCATTGTGCCCGTGAAGCCATTTAACGATGAACTGAAGCACCACCACTGCGCAAAATGGATATTCCCATCCCCTTCTTTGGGACCGCAGGTGGCGCAGTGGTTTAAACCGCTGTGCTGCTGGGCTGGTAGATCGAAAGGTTGCCAGTTCGAATTTGCACAATGGGGTGAGTTCCTGTTGCTCCGTCCCAGCTCCTGCCAACCTTGCAGTTCGAAATCCAAGTAGATAAAAAGGTACCACTTCAGTGGGCAGGTAACAGCGTTCTGTGCACCTCGGTGTTCAGTCATGCCGGCCACATGGCCACGGAGACCGTCTGCGGACAAACGCTGGCTCCCTCGTCCAGGAAATGGGGATGAGCACTGCCCCCACGAGTCAGGCATGACTGGACATAATGTCAAGGAGATATCTTTACCTTTACCTTTTATCCTCTTCTTATAACTCTTGGCCATTGCAGCTTCTGGCCCGTCACAAGCTCAAGTCTCCACCCATCCATGCCAGGAGCCCATTTCTGCATTGAATGATCTCATCCTGCCGCTGAGTGATCCCTCCAGATCAATGTTCTTTATTAGCAGGGTGCAGCACACAAGGGATTTCACAGTTACACAACCACGGGCAACCCATGCTCCGCTTCTCAGAACAACTCCACCCACTGCAAATCCATTCTCCAAACAAAAGCGAGCACACCTTCTCGTGCAGGTGATCCGAATTTTTATGTCAGTGTTCTCACAATCCTCCCCTTCACAATCCCGAAGCCTTTCAGGACATGTGCAGCCCAGGGGTGTAGTGTTCACCTAGCCCTTCTTACCAGCCTGGTGCAGAACCGTCTCCAGCAAGCAAGCCAGACTCCCCCTTGCATCTGCAAGGCACACAGCTACTCATCTAGGCAAGACGCTCACGAGCAAGAGAGCCCACACTTGGGTCCTAAATATGGGACTGCACAAAGCAAGGGAGGAATCACACAATCTTCCCTTCTGCCCCAGCTTCCGTCGTGGTGTGTAGGTGTGAGGAAGCAGTGCCTCTGGGACATGGAGGTGGCTTGGTCATCCCTAGTAATGCTTGCTGCCTGGCGCTCAGTTCGTCTATAGGAATGGATTAACATTCTCTCCCATTCTCTCTCTCTCTCTCTCTCTCATTGTTTCAAGATTGGCCCTAGTTCAGAACTTGTGCATGCTGAGAACGTGAGTTGCAGCATGTCCCAGTAACATGATCCCGGTTTCTGTGTCATGAGGGATTAGCACTTCCCCGAAGATGCCACGCCTCGGTGGGTCGTGGAATGCCTGGGGCGTGCCTCGTGGTGGTGTCCAGGTGGGCAGCTGGATGCAGTCCATCCCCTGGGAGCCAGGGAGTTACTTCAGAGGAAAGACCAACGTGATGAAGTCATGGGCTTCTCTCCCCGTCCGCCTTTCTGCAGCCTGCTCACCGGGGAGCGGGCTGTGTGGCTGCAGGGCTTCCGAGCAGAAAACGGCGATCCGGCAGCGATCACTTAACTGTAGAACACGGGCTTCCGGTGGATTCGCAGGACGTTGTAAGTGTTCAGGCCGGGAGCATCAAAGCCCGGGGACAAGCCCTTCCGGTCGAAAGGGTAGAAATTAAACAGCTGCCCATCCTGGGTCTCCAGGGAAACTGAGGCTGATCCCAAGCGCAGGGTGCATGGAAATTCCTTATCAAGCACCACCTGGAAGACACGGTCCTCGAGGTGGTGCAATCTGATGGTCCGATAGTTCTCGGGGATCAGCTCCTCGATGTGCGGCCCAAACTGCTGCATGACAAGGACCCCGGCTCCACCAACCTTGATCTCGTAGAAAGTCAGGTTGGAGTAGGTGTAGTAGCCAATGTAGGGGGTGGGACTCGGGGGAGGACTGAGGTTCTTCTCCGCTTCACGGAAGGCGGATTCCATGGCAGGGATCAGGTGCTCATACGTCTGGGCAACAATGTCTCCTCCGGCAGGGCGAGGACCAGCCATCAGCACGATGAAGCTCAAGCGGAGCTTGGGGACCAGGGAGAAGGTGGCCGAGTAGCCATCCAGGTCGCCATCTTTCCTGATGATGTCATAGCCCAGCTGCTCGTTGATCTCCCAGGGGGTGCCGGTCTTGTTGGCAAAGTACTCGCTGGAGCACTTGAAGAGGGGCGTCAACATGGTCTTGACGGTGTCAGGCTCCAGGAGACGCCGGTGGTAAGTGCCCAGGATCACCATGGCCAGCTTGGCCAGGTCAGCCGCTGTGGAGTACATCTGTCCAGAGGGCCTGTACCAGCCCAGGTCATAGAGGGGAGCAGGTTGTCCGCTGCTGTAGAAGCCAACAGCCATCTGAGAACGGATGGGAGGTGTGATGTCAAAGCCTGTGTCCTCCATCCCCAGACGGTCGAGAATATTCTCTGAGACCCATCGCTGGTACTCGCCTTCAGCAGCATGTTCAGCAAGCACATGCGCCATCAGCGAGAAAGCCAAGTTGCTGTAATGGCACCTAGAAGAGTGAAGGTGGAAACAGGTATTTTTCCCCCCTCAAGGTATCCACCAGCCTAGAAAATCTGACCTCTCTGCACCGGGACACAGATCTGCTTCACATGATGCAGCAGTCAGAACCCAAGACACTTCTGAAGGGTGGGTTCTCTTTCATGAGCAAGCCACTCTGAGAATCCGCAACCCCATTGGGTTGTTGCTTTGTCTAAGCCTGGTAGGGCAGCTTCCTCGTGAGGCAAAACCTTTCAGATCCATGTTTTCCACCTTGCCAGTGCCGGCCCTTCTACCAGTGCTGAAATGACTCTTCGGAAGGACCATCACTCACTCGCGTTCCCTGCCCCCCGAGTCTCAGAAAGGTGAAACTGGGGTCATACATTTTGGCCCTTGCAAAACATGCTTTTCAAAAAAATAAAAATAAATAAAGGGCTGTCAGTTCTTTGCAAGTCCTCAGATCACTGGTAAAGGACAAACACATGGTGCAAATCCAGGAGACATTTTGGACTAGTTGTAGCTGCTCTGAAAAGAGGGAAGGAGCAAGAATCTCCCCGTTTTGGAGGAATTGCAGACTTGGCAAAGTACGGAAAAGATGGACTGTGCGAAGAAGTGGTAGTTTAACCACCAAATCAAGAGCATTATTAAGGTGCCAAGGAGGGCATAATAAAACATTTTTATTTAAATGGTATTTTAAAAATTAGTATTTTTAATGGTTTTTAACAGTTGCTTTTGATTTATTTGGTTTGGTTTGATTTACTTTTGATTATTTATTGTATTATGTATTGTTTATTGATTGTTTTTATTGAGATTTGTATTATTTTTGTTTTTTATATTGATACTTCCGCAAGCTGTCCTGAGGCTGCAGCAAAGGACGGCAAGTAAATATTTTACTAAAATAAAATAATAGAAGGTACATCTTCTTTCTCTCTAGGTATAGATCAATACAAATAAATAATGAGAATCGCAAAAAGATGATCATCCAAGACTTCCCAATACAAGGGCTCTCCTTAAAGAATGAAGGTAGGTTCCTGAAGGACGTGGGATGGAGGACCATTTTGGTAGTGTTCCCAGAAATGATCTTGTGGCACTAGTGATCTGTGAGTCACGTCCACTCACGTGCACATGCCACTGGCACCAGCGTGTGATGCGCAAACTGAGCTGCTTCTATGGTGGAAACAATGGTGGGAACCCTCCTTGAAGGAAGTACGGAGGGTGTCCCCCCCAAGCAGGGCCTTCTCCTCAGTGGCACCCAGACCATGGAATGCGCTCCCCAGAGAGGCCTGCCTGGCACTGATGTTACACTCCTTCCGGCGCCAGGTAACAACCTTTTCATTTAACCATCATTTTAGTAATTGAGGGTTGTAGATGTTTTAAGATTTTTTTTAGTTCTCGGTTCTCACAGTCGCATTTTCTATTTTTTCTTCCTTTTCTTTTTAGTTGGTAATGTTCAGTTTATATGCTTTTAATAATTGTGGTTTTATTATTGTATGATTTTAATTTTATACTATGTAAGCCATCCCGAGCGCTTATGTGGAAGGATGGGATACAAATGTTTGAAATAACTAAATAATAAGCTTCCGTTTTGCCGATTTCCATCTATAGCTTCCACATTCAACGGCCAAATTAGATTTAAATTCCCATTTGAAAAACAAGCACACAAAAGAACACAAACACAATCCTTGTTATGTATCTCCCCCTTGTTTTTCCTGGATCAGGAGGCACAGCCAGGGTCATTTTGTCTCTCAGAAGATATTGAAAGAAGAGTGGGATCTGCTAAGCTGCTTTGAAGATTTCCCACAGTGGAAGCATTTAAATGCCATCAGGTGTCAAAGCTAGGCTCCGTCTACGGTGTTTGTCGTGAATCCAGGAATGGAGAGGACCTGCTAAACCCCTACGCAGGGCTCATTCCCTTCAGGCCTTCTCCTGAGCTAGGAAACTAGGGAGAATGAAGCGCTCCAAGAGCTGCTGCCATGTAGCCTCATGGAGCTGGAGCTGACTTCCAAGGTCATCTAGTCCACCCCATGCCTCGCAGGAGGTGTGCTCACCTGGTTCCTGGGTCATTCACAAGGACATCATCCTTCAGGAGGGCCAGTGCTTCTTGGGTGGTTCCCTTCCATAACAGAGTCGTGGAGCGCAGCCGCCTGGGCAAACCTGCAACCACCAGAGAGAAGTCATTTTCTTGTCCCCTGCTACCTTTCCAGAGAAGAGAGGCGCTGTCTCTTGCTGAATCTGGAGGGGTGAGAGCAGTTCCAGGGGCTTGGAGCAGCCATGGTTCTAGGGGATGTGTGGTTGGATGGTCTGGGGATGCCAGGAGAGTCCGGATTCCATGGCACATACCTGGAGAGAATTTTCAGATCAGGGCAGGCTCTGACCCCCTCTGGAATCAAATTCATTCAGGTGTATCAAATCAGAGCCAGTGGTATTTATAGCTCAGGACTGTCAGATCAGGAAGTCAACCAGACAGCTACCTTTAGCTAGCACACTAAGGTGTGTTTCTCAGATTTAGCAAACTTAGGTCCCCTTGCGGAATGCAACAAACCTTCAAGGATACTGCACAAAGGGCCCTCTTCAGATGACTTCACTGGAATTCACAGACTCTTGAAATGCTAGAAGGGACCAATCAGGCCACTGGTCCCAACCAATGGTGGGAACACTACACCCTTCCTAGAACCATGGAGTAGTAGAGCTGGAAGGGGCCAGGAAGGCCATCAAGTCCACCCCCCTGCTGTTGCAGGACACCAAGTCACACCATCCCACTCAAGTGGCTGTCCAGCTTCATTTTGGATGCCTCCAGTGTGGGAGAGACCCCCCACCTCTCCAGGCAACTGGTCCCACTGTTGTATTGCTCTGACAGGGAGGAAGCTTTTCCTGATATCCAGCCTGAATCTGGGTTGCCTCAACTTGACCTGATTATTCCATGTCCTACACTCTGGTTTCAGTGAGAAGAGATCTTGTCCTTCCTCTTTGTGACAACCTTTGAGGCACTTATAGAGGAATAAGAAGTAGAGCTTGAGTAGAACTTGACAAAGACTAGGACCATCTTCAATGCCCTGCTGTCAAAAGTCTTCTATTATATTCGGGATTTAGTGGGGCTACCCCAAACAGTGGGCAGTTTCCATCAGCGAGTGACCAAGGTCGGAAAAGGCTGCACAGGAAGTTCTTATGCAATGCTGGCAAGAAGAATCATTCCAAATGGTGGCCGACCGGCCAAACCAGTTCCTTCGGGTCTTCCGGATTTGTCCAGCGATTAGTCATGTGGACTTGTCCTTGGGCTAGATTTTCATATCCAGGACAGGAGAAGGCTGTATGCACAAGGGAGCGGGGGGGGGGGGTGGAACATTTCTGCAGAAAATATACCATTTCCACAGAAAAGGAGGAGAGGGAGGTCCTTTCTCCTCAGTGCCCTCTGCCAGTATCTCCAAGGTTGTGGAGTTGCTCTCTACTGAACCCAGCCTGTGAGCATTCAGCTCAAAGTCTGAAAGGCCCCCTGCCCTTCTGGCGCACCCAGAGAAGGGCAAAACTCCCCCAGGCTCTTGCTGACTGCAGAGAGAGTCAGAAGCAGGCATGGTTCAATCTATCAGGTTGCCAGAGATGGAGCAGGAAATGCTCCCTCCCAGAGTCCAGAGGCAAAATCTTCGAGGCAAAGTTATTTGAGCACTCCTGCCCTCTCCATGTAACTGTGGTTCAGGACTTGGTTATTTGAAAGAGCGTCTCCTTCCCTATGTGCCTGCCCACCTCCCAAGGTCTGGGTTGGAAGTCCTTCTGCAGGACACTTCTCTGAAGGAGGTTAAACAAATAACCAAAAGCAACAACGAATTGTCCTTTCATGAAGCATGCACCTCACTCCACTTTAAAGCCAGCCAGCCCAACTTCTGAATGAGAGAGCCAGACAGACACTTTCACCGGAGTACACATGGCGAGCACACACACCGTGGTGGCACCCATGCGCAGGCCCTTACCGGAGAGCTGGCTGGCCATTCTCCGCAGGGTCACAGGAGACGGCTTGAGAGGCAGCGCCCCCTTCTCCAGGAAGATAAGCCCATCCGTGGAGTACCGCTGCTCAGGCTCTTTGAGCCGCCCCAGCGGGTTCTTGATCGAGAAGCTCTGGACGTAGCGTTCTAGCGGGTCATCCAGTGAGGTCACCTTCCCTTCCTCCCACAGCTTGTACAGCATGATGGTGGGAAAGATCTTGGAGACACTCGCAATTCTTCCCCATGCAAGGACACAGGCAACGCATCATTAGCTGGAACGACTGTTCTCAAACATCCCCCCCCCCCCCACACACTGTGAATGACTTGACTTTGGGGGGAGTTCTACAGATCAATTTGAGAATTTCCTTTCTGCCCCCCTTTTGCCCAAGTTGCTTAAGCAGAAACCATCAAGGCAGGGTGACATTTCATTTTGGTTTAAGATGTATCTTTGCTGCTATTTGGGGTGTGGTTTTCCCATTCTTTCGGGGGGGTCTTAATGTGAATTACCAGTGAATCATTTAATGCTGGTGTCTCTTTTATTAATATTTGGGTCACCCTGATAAAATTTATAGTGGGGGTCTTAAGAGTTGTGATATTTTCAAGGATATTGCATGCTAAATTCCTGGAATGAGCCTTGGCACCTTCATTCCTATGTATTTTCTTCTTTTTAATGTACGTTCTGAAAATAAAAAGGATTTGGCAAAAGTCCTGATATTTTGTAACTGCTACTTAACTATCTTACTGATGTTGCTTTTCTGGGAATGAAATGGGGTTGCATGACAGCAGGCCATGGAGGGGCAGGACTGGCGAACTGTGGCATTCACATGTTCATACAGAACCCCGTCTCAATCTCAGTCTGTATTTATTCTAACAAATGCTCCCAAATGCATCTAAATACCAATGCATTTTTCACAAAACACATTTTTGTACACATTCTCCTGAAATACACCTTTTTGTCCTTAAATGTTGTTCATAGTTTGGGATTTCTTTTCAACTGAGAAATCAGCTACATCCCAATTTATGCATTCTGCCGGGAAGTGAATCAGGCTTAATGGTGTAAGAAAAACAAATTTGCAAGCAGCTCTGTTGTGAATGTGTCTGCGCATGTAAAGGAGGGGCAGGTATGGAAGCAAGAGAAGGCAGCATGGACTCAGAAGGTTCTGTACTCCCCAGCACGCATGACTCTGCAGGTCTCCACATTTCTACTGGGAGTGTCCTGCACTGAGCGTAGGAACAGACTAAATGGTCTACTAAAGTCTCTGCAACGATGGGTCTTAAATTGAGAAGTTCTTCATTATCACCTCTTTATTTAAACCTGTACACTAGAGAGCATAAGGAGGGCCAGGTTTGCCATGGGACAAGAACCTGGGGTCCCACAAAGTGTTGAGGAACACAGATGACAATGAGGTTCAGGCACCATGTTCTAGGGCAGGACTGCTGGGACCTCTTCCCATGAAATCCCAGCTAGAGGATGAGGCCAAACCAGCATCCCTAGACTTGAGCTTACTGAAGCACCTTCTGCCTTGTAGCTAGAGGAATCAGAATTGGACATGGGCTCTTCAGGGCCTTCAAGGCTCAGACAGCTTTGGAAGCCTCATTCCTTAGGTCCTCCAGAAGGTTGCATTGGGAGCTTTCCATGGTCCTGAAGCTGCTTCAATGGCCCTACCTTGATTTTTACTCCACCTGCCTTGATGTGTTGCCAGTTTCAAGCCTGGACGAACAAGTCACTGCTTGCTGGGCCCCGATATCTAACCCAGCAACTCGTTTTCCAAAGTAGCTGATCTTTGGAGCTGACCTTCAAGAAGCCCGCAATAGGATAGGAACACAATTACCCTCCTTCACAAACTACTCTCAGCAGCTGGTGCTCAGTGGCCAGTCTCCCCTTGACAGGGTGGAGCAGCATCTCCCGCATGAGCAACAGCTAATGCCTGACCAATCCCTCAGGGAATCGGCATGGTATGTATGAGGCCGTACAGGGTGAGATGCGGGAGCCGGATGAGATGCGGGCTCACCTGTAGATGGTGTACTCATTTGGGATGCCAGAGAAGGGGTCGGAGCCATTGCGTTTCCCAAAGTTGCCCGTCCACAGCACCGTGTCGTTGTAGATGACAATGGCCGACAGGGTTGGCAGGCCAGGGCTGTGGATTTTCTGGCGAAGAAGCGTGTCCACCTGCAGCAAAGGTGGGATTGGGAAGAAATCACAGGCTTGCTCTGTGCTACCAGAGATGGCTGCTTGGGGCAAGAAGCACATCTTCAGGCAGTCAAAGATGAGGAACCAGAGAAGCAATGAGGTTCAGGCAAAAACACAGTGCGAAGGGCAGGCCAAAGTTCAGACACCGGTGAGATGGACAAGCATAGGAGCAAGGCAAGGTCAGAAAGTGTGGAGTCAGGTCGCTGGGCAGGCAGGGGCACGCTGGAGACAAGGACAAAACAGAGCGGAGCTCAACAACGGTTTGCACATCACTGGAAGTGACAGCACAGCTTCATTCTGCACAGTTTGGATCTCACCTGGAGTCCCAAACCCGCCATGCGGCTCGCTGCTCAACTTACCTTTTCCAGAGCATCCTTCAGGATTGGGATTGGGTGGTCCAGAGGGACGGGATCCGGGAAACGGGGGCACATCTGCACTGCTTCTGGCTTGACCTCCATCACTGCTGGGCCTGGGAACAAACCCAGATGGATTGTGTTTGTCAAAGAATACCGTTTTATACTTCTGAAAGTTTGAATATACATGTATTTAAATCTGAATGTTTATACGGATTTTTAAAAAATTGTAGGTGAGTGCATGAACAGAACAGAACAGGATGGTCCAGGAAATTGACAGGGACAAGAAATAAATCAATTCACCCATCTCTGGGTTAGAAACATAGAAACAAGATGCCCATACATTCTTGATTATTCTATATTTAAACTAAGTTAACCCACATTGGGCAGTGGTTAAGTGCAGGGCTGGGCCTCCAGGGATCTGGGTTCAAGTCCCCACTCAGCCAGAGAGCTCAGACTCTCAGCCCAACCTACCTCACAGGGCCATTGTTGTGAGGATAAGATGGAGGAGAATCTGATAAGCTACCTTGCAAGAGGGAGAAAGGTGGGACATAAGGATGTATGTAATGAGGTTAATAAGTGTTTTAATGCCACATGCAGAAGGGAAATATTCCACCCCTTTTCCTTGCCTTTCTTGGCCAATCAGCTAAGTTAACGTAGGGGGAAATCCAAGGCCCCACTTTGAGTTGACAACTTCTGATCTGGATTAGCAGGTCTGGCACCTACCTGAGATGGGAACTGCACTTATCTCCACTTATGCCCTGTCTGTCAATGAAATAATGTTATAGAAACACCTTCTGTCTCGAATGAGCTCTCCTTTAGAGGAAACCAAGTCCAGGCAGAGCTTCCCCTATTCCATCTCATCCCTTGAGGAAGCAAGGGGGTATGTGCCACTAAATTTTCCCCCAAGTCTGCCAGCTCAGAATGAGCTTTCCATGTTTGCTAAGCCTTAAAGGATGCAACTTACACGTCAAAGCCATCCAGGTTGTTCTCTGGCATTCAGGAGTCACCATAACAAGGGAAGGCCTCCATAACAGGAATGCCCAGCCTGAGCTTGGACTGTTGCTCCCTGCCGGGAAGGTGGCTGTGTGTCCTCTTTTGGAGAGGACAGCCCTCAATTTGAGGGACTGCTGGAGGCTAGGTCTTGCTAGTGAAAGGCCCAGTCCTATTTAAAGGTAAAGATCCCCAAGGAGGGATCCTGGGGGCACTGAGGCTGACCATCAACCCTTGAAAGCCAGATTTCCACACGTGTATCCACACGAATGATGATCCTATGCAACACGTAAGGTCCATCCTAGTCTCTTCTTGTGTGCCTTTTTTGGCCATCCTTTCCCTCTGCACCTCAACTGGGATCAGCCAACCTTCTGCACGCGCGCTTCGTGGCAAGTACGTAGGGCAACGAGGTGGCCCCGGTGGGCACTCTGCGTGTGAGACTTACTGGGCTCCAGCTTAGGAAGGCTGTACTGCCATAGGAAGCAGCTGGTCATGGCAACGGAGAGCAGGAAGAAGACCAGCAGGACCACGTGGATCACCTTCACTTCCATGCTGGAGAGCCGGAAGAGTCTGTGCTCGCTGGAGGCCTGGTAGGAACACAGGAGAACTTCAGCACCCGCGGGAATTGCAAAGGAAGCTCAGCTCTGGAGCACTGCCTTTCATGCAGGTGACAGCTTGGAAGACAGACACACTGGAGCAATCCCAAGGAGAGGAACCGGGATGGGGAAGGGCACACGAGCCCAGCAGAAGGACTGGCTCTCCTCGGTCCCTTCTCTTCGCCTGCCTTGATTTTGGCCAGGCTGGTTTCCCAGAAACACTGTTCTCTGAGGAGGGATTTTCTTCTTCCTGAGAGACTGAATATTAATTCTTTCTAATGCTTCTCGACCATGCGGTAAAAATGGGACTGATCTCAAGCTATTTATAAACCCTTCAATCTCTAAGCATCTGCTCAGGAGGGAGTCACCGCAGCCACAGAGAAGCCCCGACTTACTTCCCCCGCCCTGAGCAACAAACGTCAGAAAGTTTCTGTGGGACTGCGGTTGCTCTTGTCATTATCAAATTACTGCCCCCTGCATACACATTTTATTTTTGCAATCCAAGGGGTACAAGCCAGACCATCTCCAGAGAGAAGCTCAGCATCCACTTAAAAATGTGTGAAAACAGACTGCTTCGCCCTAGTTGTGGGCAAAGGAAAAGGTGGAGGGTTCACCCCACGAACTTTGCAAGAATCCCAGTGATGAGCCACTGTTAGGTTCATCCACCAGCAAAAGGCACTGATTCACTGGCGGGAAACCCTTATGCAACATTAATTCCATGCTTTGCAAGCTGCTTTAAAGAAAGCAATCCTTATGCAGCACTGAAGCAGAGATGTGGAATGATAGGAAGGAGAGCTTTTCTACAGAAAGCATTTATTCTGCAGAATAAATTATTTATTCTAATTATTGAAAATAAATTATTTATTCTAAATTACTTATTCTACAGAAAGTGTTTATTCTTCCTTCCCCAGCTGCAGTTGCTATGAGTTCTGACTGTATAGCTTCTCTCCTCTAAACAGCATTTTATTTATTATGTACTATTGTATTTCAATGTATTTTATCATGTTGTAAGCCGCCCCGAGGTTTCGGCAAGGGGCGGCATAGAAATGTTATAATAATAATAATAATAATAATAATAATAATAATAATAATAATAATAATTTTCAGCTAGCTTTCTTAGGGCAGGAAAAATGCGGTATCATTTCCTAAAACAAAACAAGAAGCTTGTTCCAGTGCTTCAGCTGTGCTATTCCACTATGTCAAAGTATCCCTAGTGATTCTGGAGAGGAAAATCAGGAAAGATGCTCTTCCTGGTGTTTTTGGCTCTCACTTCTGTGACCAAATTGGAAGCAGATTCAACAAATCAACAGCCTCAGGTAGAGAAGCTCTTAATAGGATCCCACCCTGAGTCATTTTCTGATGTCTTCTCCCTGAAGTCCATTCTGGCCTGCTGCCCCTTCATCTCAAAATGAAAACGTCCACATGAAAATTTTCATTTTCTTGAAATACATTGCTGGGAATGCATTTCCTTTCCAAGTCTGCATTTCTAAGGAGGGAATCCTCGGCATGTGGAATGCTTGGGAATAAGCTTAGTTGAATAAAGAGGGGCCGAAGGAGCATGCATAAGAATGCTTGGCAAACGTCTCTCCAAGCACGCGTGTCTAACAGAGCAATCCTATCTGTGCTGCCATGTATATGCATAGGCAGAATGTGTCACGGAGCCGCCGAGTTCCGTCGGGCTGGCTTCCTGGGAAGCACAGATTCCAGACAAAATGTATGAAATGCATTCATTCTGCCAGCTGCAGCCCACAAGGAAACGGCCTCCCCCCACCCCTTTGTCATAATTCTCCTTTAAAAAAAGGGGGAAAAAAAGCTTTGTTTTGAATCCAGTGGGAGTTTTCCCCAAATCTAACTGCCATTCATGCTATTCTGTGTCTCATGTTTATACATACACCTATGTACTCTAATGAATGTGTAGTGTGGATAGATGTGTACTTGAGCACCTTAGCCAGAACGCCAAGCTCTACTTGGCTTTATCATGCTCACTTTTAGAGGGAGCCCTAAAGAAAAGGGGATTTCTGGCAAAGGAAAAATGCCCAAGCCAGTGCCACTAAATTTGGGAGCCCTGCCCAGATGGCACTGCTGATGAGATCTTCTGCATGATCCCGGAAGAATCTTAACACCAACAAGCTGGTTAAAATGCCACTAAACCTGAATTACTCCTGCCTAGGTGTTCCTTCTGTTTCTATTCCATACAACCATAGAACCAGAGTGAGTCAGAAGGGGTCTCCTGGGCCATCTAGTCTGACCCCTGGCTCCAGCCAGCTCCACTCATGACATGGCCACCATGTGCATGTCCAGCCTCTCCTTGAACACCCGCACCCATGGGGCCTCAACCACCTCCTGTGGAAGCCCAGTCCACACCCTCGGGGTCCTGACTGTCAGGAAGTGCTTCCTGGCACCCACCCTAAATCTTGGTTCCCTGAGTTTGGCTCCACTGGAACACATCCTGCCCTCCACTGCAGGGGAAAAAAGGTCTCTACCCACCTCTGCATGGCCCCCCCTCATGTGCCTGTATGTCGCCAGCAGATCCCCTCTGAGTCTCCTCTTATCCAGCCTGAAGAGACCCAGCTCCCTCCGTCTCTCCTCATATGGGCTCCCCTGCAAACCAGCCACCAACCTTGTGGCCCTGAGCTGCACTGACTCTAACCTTGCTATATCCCTCTTGTAATGGGGGGGGGGGGGGCAGAACCGAGCACAATGCTCCAGCTGCGGGCTCACCAGAGTTGTATAGAGTGGCAGTAATACCCCCCTCGATCTAGAAGCCATGCTTCTGCCTGTAGAAAGGTAGCCTGTCTCTCACTCAGGACTAGATGCTTAGAAAGAGTCGCCCAATCCTGTGGAGAAGGCAGGGGAGCAAGGTGGGAAAAGTTCTTGTCTGATTTGAGGTTACCTAGTGGAAATCCTCCTTTGGGAGGAGGAGGAGGGGTTTTGGGATGGGAGGGAGGGCAGATGTGACAGAAGTGCTGGAGAATGTCTCTCTCATTCCTGCCACCTGGGTCTCAAGGAGCAGAAGCCCCCCGAGGGTGGAGTCAGCAACTTTACTGGAAGGCAGGGATGGAGGTGAAGATTCAGGTTGGATTCAACTCTTGGCATGGGCAGATGCGTCTCCCTCAGCTTTAGCAGAAAGCTAAATCAGAGAAGTTTCCACAAAAGGACTGCACTTCAGAGGGTCTGTTGTGAGTTTGATGGGTTTTTTCTTGAGTTTGATAAAGAGAAAGAGGGGGAGGGACCAATGCATGGCAGAAGCTTTGCTGCATGCATTCAAGAATGCGAACCCAAGCCGACCGTGAAAATCTCATCCCAAGTCGTCTTCCCAGCTTCTACCTAAAAGGTAAAAGAGCCTTTTATTCAAGAAAGCTTGGAAGGGAAAGTTAAGGAGAAGGACTCCATTAGCAATACAGCCTGAAGCTTTCTTCTTGGAGGGCAGTCCTCTTAAGTTCACTAAGACTTAATACCAGGTGGTGTATAGAATCACAGCTTCAGTCCTTCCATTAAAAGCATAATTGTGGAACGTCTAAGGGAACATCTCCTTCCATTCAAGCGTGCCGGGACCTTGGGATCATCCGTGGCGGTCCTCCTCTGAAAGCCCTCCTTGCAAGAGGTGAGGAGGATGAGGAAGAAGAAGAGGAAGAGGAGGAGGAGGGTCTTTTCCGCTACAGCACCCCAATTGTGGAACTCAGTCCCCAGAGAATCATTCCTTCTGGCACCAGGCCAAAACTATTTGCCCAGTTTTTCAATTGTTAACGGGTATGTTAATTATTTTATATCAAGTACTGACACTAAGAGGTTTTTAATTGTTTATTTGCTGATTAAATAGTTTTAAAATGTGTGTATGTGTAAATGGCCATGAGGTTTTTAATGAATGATGACGGAGCATGGGGTCTAGGGAAGAACCAGCTTGAGCTCTGCCCACTCCTGACCTATGCTAAAAACCCCTCCAGCTTGTCTCCCTCATTTTTATTCTCAGCAGAGCAGCCTTCAGCCCAGCCAACGAACAGCTTGAAGGAACCACCATAAATGGAGAACAAAGGGGCAGACTTGACCTCCTTCTCGGGGGTCGTTCCCAGATGACATCAGATTGCGCCATCCAGAGGACGGGTTCAACCCCACTTCCCACCCACTGTTGCCGCCATCTTACCCGGAGCTGGAGACCCTCCATGGCTTCTTAGAGACTTTCCCTCATGGCATTCGCAGCAGCCTCTGAATATCTGGGGATCCTGCAAAAGCAGTAGGACTGGTTAAGCAAGCGGTCACGTTCCTTGGCGATCCACAGGATGGGAGATCTGTGGGCAGGGTGGGAATGACACAGGTGGATCCCACAGCCACTCATAAAATTGCTGTGTCTCTCAGCACTCTTCTTCCCGGGGTTCCCGCACTTCCAGAGCCCTCCCTATTCCAAAAAATTAAAAAAAGCTCCAATGCATGCAATCTTGGTAGTGGGACAACTGCAAGACTGTCCACCTTTCCAGTTCTTTTCTTCTGGAGCTTAAGGTTTGGAAATGGCATGGATCTGTCCGACAAAGAGCACCACGTCCTGCCCTGCAAACAATCCCACCACCTGAGAGACACAGGTGCCCATCTTGTATCCCCTTCCCCCCAGGAGGTCTAACATTTAGCTCCCTGATGCAGCAAGAGGTGCCATCTCGTCCTTACCAGCCTTCCTGCTCCTGCTTTGCACGCCTGGGCAGTGCTGTCTGAGAGCTGAGGGCTTCTTGCCCGCTGATGATGTTAAAAGGGCCGGCGGAGCACTAATCCTGCCTGCCCCAGATTATCGCCTTGGCAATGCAGGATGTGGAACATCTGGTCTGGGATGGAGGAGGCCCAAATGCAGCCCGGGGCTTCCAGGGCCAGAAGTTTAGGAAGGTTTAAGTGTTTGTGGGATACGCAAGGTTGAATAGCGCAGCTGTCGGGCTGTGCCTGCCCTCTCTTGTGGTGTGCTGTTCCCGGAGGGGAAATGGGTTAATCAGGGCACAGAGGAAAAGGGTGGAGAGGGCTCTGGAGACAGACAGACTTTCCTGCAAGGGTATGAACCAGGCAGTAAGCTTGTAACACTTCTACTCCCTAACAGGACTTCCCACTTTGCTGCGGGCTCAGTTCCGACAACCCAGCAACAGCCCAGTCAAGAGGGTGAGTGTTCTTTCAGTTTTAGGAGCAGAAGGAAGAAGGATAAAAGCCCTACCAGCTGTTCTCAGCACTTTTTGGAAATGGAGTGCCACATCCTCAGCATCAGAACTGCCAGGCTGTGCATTGTCTGGTAACTCAACATGCAGAATCGGTTCTGTGTTTCACTGGAACCCAGGATCCACCGGAAGGAAGAGCTGGTGCATTGGGATGAAAGAAAATGGCAAAGGGCGAAGGAGGGTGCATTTGGGTTGGATGGATTGTGACTGCAGTACAGATTGGAATGCAGGCATCCTTCAAACGGTGCACTTTGCCCAATTCCGTGATGCAGCTCTCAGCTGCAAAATGGTGCATAAAAAGTCAATTTTGGGGAAACCGTTTTGCGCAGTTTAGGGGTTTCCTGCGTCCGTGGGGCTTCTCACCCATTACAGCGTTGCTTTCCAGGGTATAGGAGCTATCCGTGGTGCTGATTTCCCTCCTCACATCGCTCCAGTATCATGAAGCACCGCGGATGGCTCCCATGAAGCTGGGAAGAAAACGTGCAAGGGACCGCCCCTATGGTCACAGAGACACCCTCCCCACTGACAAAGGTGTGCGTCAGGAAAAATAATTTTCCAAAAGTAACACTCCATGTGCAATAGGCAAAACCGCATGCCCAGAATGAAGACATTAGGAGAAATCTGCACAGAAGCCCTTGTGGATTTTCATGGACGTGTGCATGCACATGCGTGGTTGAAATCCTCAAAGTTTGGCATCAGCCTAACTTCAAACTGGGCAAAGTCTCGAAGGATAGGCAAAGTGAGAAACCAGGAGGAACCGAAAATGCCAAATTGGTCCATCCGCATGTTCGAGCGATTGGGGAAACGTCTCTTCTCTTTTGATGTCAGGATGGAGCCCCCGCAGTGGCTGGTGGGCTGTGACCAGGACAACATCTTCTATTACAATCGTCACACAACCCAGAATGGACACTCAGGGCATTGTTCCATTCAATTACACAATCCTCCTCTAGCTATTCTGGGCTTCGGTCCTGAGCAGGTGGCAGCCTTGCTTCTTGCTCCTCCAACCCTCTGTTGCATATATTTGCTTATATTAAGTCATTTCATGGACTTGAACAGAGACTACCATAAAAAGATAACTGCATCCTCAGTGTTGATTTGGTGTAGGATGTTGCATATTTCATGGAATGCAGCTGATTTACAGAGAAATGTTTAAGAGGATGTATAAAGATCAAGGGATTATAAAATGCTAAAAACTAGAATATTTTGCTCTTCTAGTGAAAATGGGAAGTGAAAAATGTAGACTGTTGCTGCTGATTATGTAAGAAAGGTCAAAACCAAATGTGGGGAAGAAGTGTAGGAAGATTTAACTTTTATACCACCCGATACCCTCAGCTCTCTCGTTTGTTTACAGCTATCTAAACAATATAATATCATTGTTTAACCTATGGTTGGAGAAGAACAAGAAGAATCCATTGAGAACAGGAAAGAGAAGCGAGTACAATCACAAAACCCCATCAGAGCTTTACCATCCTACCTACTTTTTGGGTAAACATGTAACAAAAGCTCACTTCTGCCAGGTGCGCCAAGACAATCTACATGTAACTATGTTAGACTACAGCAATTCCAGGTTCAAATCCCCGCTGGGCCCCAACGTTTACTGGGGCAACTACACTCTTCTGATTCCATCTACCTCACAGGGTTGTTGTGCTGACAACATGCATGGGACCACATTGAGATCCTTGGAGGAAAGAAGGTATATATTAAACTAATAATGAAACAGAAACTGGTTTCAAGCTGATGAAAATGTCCAATTCTCTACTTTGTTCCACTCTGAAACCATACTAATTCTTTTATACCATGTTCTTCTCTTTCCTCCATATAGTTTAGGCACTTTTTAAAACTGGCAGTGATATGCAAGCAGAAAAGCCAATCAAACAGTTTCATGTGTCGGTGGGTGCCAAAGTGGACAACTGCCCAGGAAGCTATTAATTAACTATGACAGTGCGGGGATGTGGGAAATATTCCCCCAGGAAGCTTCTAAAGTGCCATGTGGCTAACTTCCCAAACCTAGAAAGGATCTCAGCTCTTCAATTGGACCCCACAGTTGCAGTGCTAACAACCCTTTGCTCTGTGGTACCTGGCAGGAGCAATTTTCCATGGCACGCAGATGAACATCAGCTATAAATCAAGACAAGCGATAACTGGACTGTGGGAGCATCTGGAAACTGTCATGGAGATGGTTTCATCAGACCTCGCGTTAGCAACACTGACCGGTGGGGCTGTCCTGATTTCAAGGCAGGGATTTATTTATTTATAAAATTTGCATGCCATCCATCACGTGCGTCTCTTACAACATAAGAAGGGTTCCTTCTCAGCCATACCTAGAGAGATCTGGGAAGTTCTGCAGCAAGGTGTGTGCTGCCCCGTTGAGTTATAGTCCTTCCTGCAGTTGGAGAAACTGACCAAGACCCCAGCAAAAATGGCCTGGGTAGGAGGTGAGCAAAGCATGAATCCCCTGCTAAGAAGATTTTGGTACAACACAGAGGCGCTACCCAACACAAACAGTTTCTTCACATTTTTGGCCCCGACAGAAACATATTTTAGAGGAGTTATAGCTGTCAGTAAGACAACATACCCATGTTAACAAAAGTGGAAGGGCACGGTATGTCGGTGAGTGCATTACCAAGGAACAATCTTCCTCAAAAGACACAGCCACAGGGGCTAGTTGAAATGTTGGCAACCCTGTTGTCCCCATAAGCAGAAGCATTTAAAGCCTGCAGAAGAATTGGCTCTGATGTCCTCAACCTCCACCCCCCGAGAAATTAACAAACCCATGGAAGGTTCACAAATTATGGCAAGTTATGACTTGATAACTCATTGGAGAAGAGCCTGATGCTGGGAATGATTGAAGGCAAAAGAAGGAGGGGACGGCAGAGGATGAGGTGGCTGGATGGGGTCACTGGGGCAGTCGGCGTGAGCTTTGGTGGACTCCGGGGGATGGTGGAGGACAGAAAGGCCTGGGGGAGTGTTGTCCATGGGGTTGCAATGGGTCAGAGGCGAGTTTGCAATTAGCAAATGATTTGAAAACCCATAGTTTATTGTTGGGATGTGAACTGTGGGCTTTCCACCAGTTTCTGAGCACAGCTGGATTCAAACAACATGGCAACTGACGGTTAACAACAACCCATGATTCAATGGCAAACTCCACTCAAGTCATGCTCAAACTGCGTAGCCCTGTTCTGTGAAACCTGCCAATGATACTTAGAAAGAGTCGCTGTCTTACTACTAGGAGCATCTCAGGAGAAATAGCATGCGTGGGCTTGTGGGCAAGAAATGGCACAGGACGCAAACTGGACCAGGGCATAATCCAGAGAATGAGCTGCTGTTGCTTTTCCTTCAAATCAGAAGTGGCCAATTTAAGCCTGTTTGGTTTTTTAAAATCATGAATAACTTAACATTGAGTTTGGACTAGAATTCATCATGCTGCCGAGCTCACCCAGACCAGAAGAAAGTTTTGGCCTGGAGGGAAAACACGACCAGGTGATGATGGAACAGAAGCATGTGCAGAAGCCGGGTGCTCTGGAATGCTCTGCTCTCATGGACACAAACACCCATCAACATAAATCTGTGCAGAGCCGCCCGTGGAAGGCATCCCGGCAGAGGGCCACCATAAGTCCATGAGGACTGAACAACACGCACCACCAAACCTCCCAGCAAAGGTCCTCTTTCTCCAATCTGCAGATCCAAGTCTTGTTAAAACCACACGCCAATTCCCCTTGCTCACTACGGAGCTCTCTATTTGCATGTAAATTGGGAGTGCCTCCAAAATCCCCTGCCTGAGTGGCCTTCGGGCCCATCTAAGAAGCTGGAGTGAGAGAGAGGCCAGGAAAGAGTCCGTGTGGGTGAGCAAATACCCTCCTCAGCATCACCCCCAAGCCCCAGGAGGTCTTGCATCTATTTCAAGGCATGCCTCGAAACAGCTGTGGAGGCCCAGCCATCCCAGAGTTGCTTCATTAACTCCCTGCTGGCAGCCCATTTA